GCCATTTTTAGTTTGTTGGAAAAGACCCCCCCCCCCCCCTGGTTCACAAAATTTGAGTTCGAAAAATTTTTCTCATTATTCTACATCATAAGTACCCAAAGAGGCCATATATATAAAAAACCGGATACAAATAGCTGTTTTGCGAAATTGAGAGCAATTTTAAATCTGTTCAGTTTTTTTTGATACACCCTGTATATAAATTGCATGCACTTTGTTCTGTTATTTTAGTTTAGTATAATTGTGATTCAAATAGCCAACCGCAAGTTACCTTTATGAGAGAGATTTACGATTGTATATGCATGTAAAGAAAAACATTTAATAAAGTTTCCGTTATTATTATTTTTATTATTATTATTATTATTATTATTCAAGTGGACATCGATAAGCTACCTTTTATTAAGTGAGGTTTATCAATGTATATATATATAGTATATCGAAAATATCTAATAAAAAGTTTCCATTAGTGACCATCATTATTATTATTATTATTATAACTCTCGTGCAAATTTGAACCAGATCAAAGTTGATAAGAAATAATGAGAGTTGGAGCTCAAACGCGAGCGAGGATTGGAACTATAGTTAACTCTCATCCAAGTTTCGATGGGGCCTTATACTTTGATTACATCATTTTATTGACTCTATAAAAAGGCAATTATATTCAATGTCTGTGAATCAATATTGCGGAAAAATCGTTTGGTGAATGATCTATATTCGAGGCATTAAATGCATTATTATTTAATACTTTGGGAGGCCACATGAACGTTTGTATTTTTTATCTTCAAATTTAGGGAAATAAGATTGCTTGAAACAATGGAAAACGTTTGTGATCAAATGAAATCGTATGTTTCCAGGGCTAGAAGAAAATTCCCTTATATCAAAGGAGGTATATGAGTAGTTTTAAAAATGAAAAACGACGAATCTAGAATTTTGTATTTTAATTCACTATTTGCAGCGTCATGGATTATTGTGGGCTCCTCAGCCCCCCCCCCCCCTCCCCATGGATTATTGTGGGGCCCCTCATGCACCACCTCCAACCCGCTCTGTTGCTACACCAACGGCCATAGTTTGCTTCTAAAATATTTTCTTAATTTAATTTGTTTTTCTCGTTTCTTTGCCAGTGAAAAGTCATTTTCGTGAGGGTTTAGATAATCTGGTGGAAAATTCGGCAGTGAAGTTAAACATTGAAACGCCACCAGATGACTTAATGGATGATAGTACAAAGGAGATCATTCGACTCAAATTCAAGGTATAATTTTAAGATTCGTATCAAAATTTCTGAAACTCGTATTTTATCGCCAATAGGGGATTGTACGGGTTTTACCGTTTATTGTACTCCTGCCTCAATGGCCTCGTTTTCGTGTGAGCTTCATTCTCGTTTTTTGTGCAAAGTACGGTTAGGTTTGTAGTTGGGGTAAGACCATTCCAGCCAATATTACAAGATTAATGAACATTGAAAAACAAACTTTGTCGCCACCTCCAAACCACCCAATCCCTCCCCCACCCCCCTCCAGGTTAGTGTGGTAAACAACGCCGAAACAACTTTTGGTAATTTACCATATGAACGTTCTTGATACTACGTTTTTACCACGATTCCCTTGTAGTCAGAAAACGATTGATAAGCCCATGTTGTATAGTTGGAAGAATTTTTGCCGTTGAAATTATTCAGGGAAAATTAATGATGAATACGAGCGTTTTTCGTTCCTTCAGTGATAATTTTCCTTCTCGTTCATTTCCTGATGCTTTTATGATATGCTATATAAGGTTGGCGTGGTAAAACGCAAGGCCATGCAGTTCTCAATTTTGCCTTGAATACGTTTTACATTGAATACATTTTAAACAGTATTACACTCAGCCTCAGAAATTAAAGTGTCAGAAATTGTATTGCAAGTGGCACCTAAAATATATAATATGTGAAATGATATGTGAATCGAATTTTTCGGAATTGCCATTAATTTAACAAAAAACTCTTCGATATTCTGTTCTATCTGAACGTCGGGTTTTTCTACGTACGTACCAGTCTAATTTGTAGGACGTTTCAACACGCATAAATATATGACAACATTTATATGTAGACGACATATTACTACGTGGACTCTCTTTATGGAAAACTATCTTCATACACGTTGTGATAAAAAATTAATGATTATCTTTAGAATGAAAATAATGATAGTTCAACGTTTGTTCATTTTCAGTGTGTATATATGCTGGAAGAATATGAAGAAGATATTACAGAATGGTATTTTCAATACAGAGAACAAAACTTATTGGACTGGTTGTGTAAACTTCGCGTGCTAAATAATGAAGATCAAGGTACAATAAGATATACCAAAAATCTTAAAATTACACCAGACTGACTCACTATCATCCAGGACTTTTTTAAGGATTTTCGAGTGGGGGAGGCATTGGCAAAAATAACGAGGTCGTGGGTCAAAAGTCGAGGTCGTGGGTCAAAAGTCGAGGTCGAGGGTCAAAAGTCGAGATCGAGGGTCGATGGTCGGGGGTCAAAAGTCGAGGTTGAGGGTCGAAAGTTCGAAATAGTAAATTTTTATACACTTTGAAATCAGTAGTCCGGAAAAACCATTTCCTGCATTCTTAGCCTTCAAATTTATTCCAAGATTTGTGTTAACTGTACTTCTATTTCAGATAAAATAAGGAAAACGCACAAAACAGAATTAAATGTACAACTTGTGCATCAATATATGACCTGAATGGAACTAATGTCCATCAACGCAAATAGATTATAGTGAGATTCATCAAATTAACTCAAATTTTGTTTTCCAGTTTTCCTTAAACTGGATAATATAATACGCTAAACATGAATGAGAAAAACTGATAATACATTCTCTTGAACTAAATTATTCTTCATTCTTTGTCAATATATTTTAAAAAAAGTGATTTTGATTGGGGGAGGGGGCTAAAATAGTTAATTGGATGTGGGAGGCCAACATGGGGGCTGGGGGCCATGGTCCCCCCCCCCAGTGTATATGTTTAAAAATGCCTTGCCATCATCAACTAATAACCGGAAATAACTCATAAACATTTATAAAACTTGGAACATTAAAATCAATTTGAATTCATTAAGACTTGTGAAACTCATCAACAATTCATGAAGAAAACACAAAGAAATCATGACTGTGAAGGAGTTTGTATTTCTGATATCAAATCATGCTGATTTATATAAACATTCGGGGTTCTTTATCCGATACAACACAGCTACTCATGTTGTAAATAGTACATATTACATTCGTAATCTATTTTTTTACGATACTCTTTCCAGTAGTTTACATGTTTCTTTGTCATGTATGCAATTCCCAAGAATGCAAAAAAGCCAACTTAATCCTACCTTCACGTGACTCTTCATATTCCGAATCTTTATATTCTTAAGGATGTCTTGGAGAGTCTGATGATCTTGTGGCCCCGGAGGATGACACGACAACCACTGTTTACACAGTCGATGACGAAAATCAATACAAATCTCCGGCTGCTAGGGAGAGTGAAGATGAATCCGAAAATGAATGGCATAATCGGGTTGATAATATCGATTTTTCCGAATCTCACTTGGAGTTATAGTTGTATTAACAAATAATTATGATGTAGATGTCGGAGATACAGGTTTTTAGATGCACAAACTCATTGGCAATTAGATTGTATATTTGTCATATGAAAACACTGTTTGTAACGGGTCCCATGCATCATAGTGGCCAGGGCGCTTATATACCTTGGTATATAAGCGCCCTGATAGTGGCCATCAAAACACTGAATAAATTGATGAAAACATTTCTATCAGGAACATTTCGAGTATTCTGTGATAGTTTTAAGGTGTAGCAATGTTTAGTTTGATTTTCTTGCAAACTAATTAGTATACAGTGAGTGACATCGCCCATCAGCAGCATCCAGAACTGGCAGAATTGCCTTATCTAGACATTTATTACGAGTTTTCGCCATAGCCGTGCTTTCAATAAGGCAGGCATAGTTTTATTTAAAATGCATAGTCAAATATTTGACACGCCTAGCCGTTGGGCTGCCCATGCTAATATTGTGGTAGACATTTTCCCTGTCATTTCTGTACACTCGCACAGGCGTTTGACTGTGGAGTTGGTAATGCTATGTCCCATGAGCGGTGATTAGGCAATATTTGTTTCCATTAAAATTCGTGGCAATGCTTGTCGACCCCCAGCTGTGCTATCCAGATCTGGGTAGTTGATTCTGATTGGTCATAGTTAAACTCATATTAGATTTCAACCTGCTGAGTTCAAAGATCAACAAAGTTGTGACTTTTAATAACGTAAACAAAGCTCAGGAATTGCATTTTATTTGTTCAACCGGGTATCATATTAATCTGCAATACAACAGAAACATTTTTGCATCAAAAATTTAGTAGTTTGAAGCGTAACGTACGAAGAAGTAAAATTTACAATGAACATTGAGTACGTGTGAAGAAAATATTTCCATTTTGAAAGTCAAAGTCCAACGGTCATTGATATTTGCGTCCAGCCAATCAGAACCTGCATTATGTTCAGTCGTGACCAATCAGAATCGAGTTTGGGTAATTGTCCAGTGTTCAGGGTCATAGGTCGAGGTCGTTGAGTCAAAAGTCGAGGTCGAGGGTCAAAAGTCGAGGTCGAGGGTTGAAAGTCGAGGGTCGAAAGTCGAGGGTCGAAAGTCGAGGGTCAATATTCGAAGTTGAGGGTCGAAAATCAAGGGTCGAAAATACTAAATTTTTATCCATTTTAAAAGTTTTACAACCATTTTGAAAGCTTCCATTAAACGCGGCAAAACAATTAGTTTTGCTGTCAAAAATGAAAAATTACGGAAAAAAGATTTCAAGATTTCTTGATTTCAAATTAACACAATTTTTGCAGTCACACGGCATAGTGAAATGATGAGAAGATATAAAGGTTTCTTATTGAGAATATTTTAATGCATATTTAGTGAAGATATTTTTACAGAAATATTTACAATTTAATAGTTAAAATTATTGAAATAAACTTTAGACGTATGTTTCTTTTAACACAAGAATGTTTCGAAGGTTAGCAGGTACACTAATGGACTGGTGTAAAGTAGGTTGTTCGATAATGGAACTGGTAGGTACAACGTGCGAAGCACCCATTGCCGGCCACTGGTGTCTGTGGCTTGTGACTTCTAAATCCATGGGAATTTCAAATTTTTGTAGGCCTATGTCGTGCGTGAATCCGTCGTTTTTATAGGAGAATGAACTTGTTGTGTCATGTGCTTCTATACTCTCATTCTTATTGGCTGACATGTTAGGTGTACTAGCTGTAAAAGCTTCACTTACATAGAATGTTGGACTCGTATTGACGTCGTTTTCGTGCGCAGGTAAAAGCGAATCAGCCATTTTATTACAATAATCAACGTCTTTATTCATATCATAAGGAAAGATAATTAATTCTTGATTTAATAAAGACCATCTTCTGTGGTATATGCGACATTGCCCGAAGCTATCCAGGTATAGGCCAATAAGAGCCATAATGATAAAGCCACCATTGATGGCATAAGCATATGTAACCTCTTTGCTCTCCCGTTCTGACTGGGCTGCTTGGGAACTACTGAACTGCGACCACATAATCCAGGTCAGTGACGTTACCATAATACTGAAGAATGCCAGAAAGAGAAGTACATGAAGCCATCCTTTGAAACTTGGTCGCGGAAATCTTAACTGAAAACATTAAAAAGAGTCAAACACGTTGTACAGTAGATCACATATATTTCATTCCACTGATAGTGGCTACTGGTATACTGAACCTGAGCACCAGCGAAATTAGAAAACAGTTAAGGGCGGACCATCAGAAAAGTGGAGAAAATGGGGGAGAACGGAAAACTAATGCTTGTATTCTAAAAGCTCACCAATACTGTGACTACTCGTCCTCCAGCTATTCAAAAACAGCATTGACACTCAAGGGAAGCTGAGATTGAATCTCCACTTTTGGAGTGTGAGCGTGAATGAGCTTTTAGAATACAGGCGTAATTCGCGCAAAGGAAAGTAAAAGGAAAAAATTCGTGCAAAGAGGAAAGTAAACAATACCAGAAATAAAATTCCGCGAAAAAATTCCATCACAAGCAGACGGCCGAAAAAATTCATGCACGCTGAAAATTCCATTCCTCTCCCTAGTCACTTTTCCAACGGTTGTCCCCTATAGTATCGCACTATACAGAGCTTGAAGTAATATATGAACAACGGGAGCGACTGTTTCACCGGGATATCCAAACACGAGAAAACGATGTATGAAAACACGAGCGCGAATTAAGCGCGAGTGTTCTCATACATTGTTTTCGTGTGTTTGGATATCACGGTGAGACACGGGCTCGAGTTGTTTATATGGCTTCCCAAATGAATCTAGACTAACAGAATGATTTCGTTTGCTGATTTGAATAGAATTCTTAACCAAGCATAACGTAATTAGGAATTCTATTCAAGTAATTTTGCATGCGTAATTAAGATATTTGATGAAAACACTAGTGACTTTCATCAAGTTTTACCGGGTTATCCAAATGGCATCTTGTGATCAAATAGGTGATTATCATTGGTCGAATTGCTCATAAATTATTAATTAATTTGAGAAATAACAATCTCAAACTCATTTTAAGAGGCAATTTTTTTCATTGTCACGTATTTGCAATGAAAAGTGTTCAAAACCTAAAATCTTTGGCGTTCCTCTCAAAATTACTTTGTTTTGGCTTTATTCTCTAGTTTATAAAGTTAGCAACCTTTTTAAATGCATCTGGCGGTTGAGAAACATAAAATAATAGTTAAAAATTGTCAATTCAAATACAATTATCAATGATGCTTTAAAATTGACGCCGTATTTTATACAGCCATATAAGCAAAACTTACTGAACTTCAGACATCAATCATCATTTTCTCTTCTAATCATCTAAAATCTCTTCATTTTAGCACTTCAGAAAAGTACTGGCACTAGTTGTCAAATAGAAATCCATTTTGTGATTAAAACAACTGAATATCTCCCGTAATATACTTTATTTCGATTCCATATTTTTGTCAGAGCTATAGTTCTCATAACCAAACATAATTACAAAATTTCAACTAGTTTCAGAAAGAATAACGAAAGATATAATTGACTGAATACATCAAAATGGATTTCTATTCGGACAACCCTTTCTGAGCGCTGATTGGCTAAAATACGAACACGAGATCACTTGGAATTCGAATAGGGACATTCGCAGGAATGGCGTGGTGGTTGCTATTCATTCGACCCGTGAAATACAGTGCATAAAAATTTTGATTTACCGTCTTAATGACATCAAAATAATTATGCAAAATTGCAAATGCATATGACCAAAAATCAAAGATCACCATTATGTTACCATGGATTGTAAAATAACTGGATAGGAAACTTCTGACGTCATTGACTGCATCCTTGTTGAAAAATGTGACGTCACGCGTATTGCGAATGTTACCAAAGTTCTCGGCATATTTGTTGTTTTGCTATATTTTCCACTTTAAAGGGTGATCTTGAAGCATAAACTGGTCTAATTGTTTTAAAAACATGCCTAAGCCACGACAAAATATTCAAGGTAAATGTTTTTCGTCTTTGTTTTGTATTTTTTTACATTTGTAGCTACGAAATTGGCGTCACAAATCTTAACGAAATTTGCGATGTATTTTTCACTATTTAGTGCTTGAAATATTTGCTAAAATTGACTGGGAATACTTAGAGTTTTCATCGTAGAATGGCATGGTTACATTTATTTGCTCTTTGACTAAAATGTTTAGCTGTGATTGCTAAACATGCCGTTACTGAGAATTTGATTTTCAACTAGGTTGAGGCATCCAACCACGCCATCAATCCCAGTAAAAACATTAGGTCGCGTCAGCTAGTTTCCTATCCATTTATTTTATTATCCATGATGTTACCTTGCGAATATCCGCAATACGTTTTGTTTCGGTCTTGAATTTATATTTACATAATTCACAAGCACAATTAGTCGAGCCAACGATCCATTTTCGAATGCAAGATTCATGAGTGTAACCAACGGAACCACTACAACGACATGGCTGAATTAACTCTTCTTCTTCGCTACTGCAATGACATATGCGGCATATTGGTCCACTTACGGACAAACTTATATCATGAAAACATCCTTCACTGGTGTCCTGTATCAACGACGGCTGGTGTGAATCCGCTGATACCTCCACAGATACCCTTTTGGAGTATGATTCATTCCTTGTCTCACACATCAGAAAACCTGCGAAATGCAGAACAGACCTCTCAATCCGATTTTATGGAAAAGTATAACTGAAATAGTTATGATTATCACGAATTACTTATTCAATCTCAGTTTTGATTGGCTGCTGGTTCACACAAAGAAAGAATACAACCATGGCGAGATTTACCTTGGTAATTCAAAGCAATTTTACAAAAACTGTTTAGACGAAAAACGCTAAACGACAATATTAAACGTTTCACAACGAGTTGCCTGAAGAAAAAAAGATAAGCACGGACCTCAAGAGAAGAGACCCTTGCCGTAGTTTTTGAAACTATTTTGCCAAAATCTACATTTTTTTTCTTATATATACGAGTTAACGAGTAATAAAATAATTATTGAATCTACGGTTTTAGCATGATATGAGAATTTCAAAGCCTCGGTTTGTGCTATCTGCCTCAGCCTACGGCTTCTGCAGATAACACAACCTCTGCCTTGGAGTACGATTGGTTGTGCAATTTTGTAATCATGCACGCGTTTAATGTCAAACCAATTAAATTCTACTCCACTCAGTCAATTACTATTAATAAAAATATTACTCGACTGTAATTGGTTGCTATTTCAGTGCATAGGCGTCGAAAGATCGATAAGTGGGGGGACCATATTCATATATTCGTGTCAGGGGCGTAGGAAGCTTCCAAAAGTTGGGGGGGCAGGCCTTGAAGGGCACTTTTCAAAAAAAAAGGCACCTAAAAATTTTTTGGGACGATCTTCCCCCCCCCGTCGCCAAAAAAAATTTCGGTCAGTGTACCATTTTAGGGGTCAAAATACATTTTCCGGAAATATCTTTAAAAATTTTCCGGATATTCAACATTTTTTCCAAAAATACGATAAAAATTTTCTGGAAAACCACAAAATTTGCCCCACATATTATATTTTTCCCGCAAATTAAAACATTTTTCCGGAAATAAATGAGATTGAAGTTTTCAAAAGTGTTCATTGGGCAAAAAACGCACTTTTAATGAAAATTTTTCACGCAAAAAAAGGGCACTTTGCTCCCGGAAAAAGGGCACTTGCCAAAACTTGGGGGGCCTGCCCCCCCCCTGGCCCCCCCCCGGTTCCTTCGCCCCTGATTCGTGTTCAAAGACCTTAAAAACAATCGATTTCAAAAGAAATTAATAATGACGAACACAAATATATGAATATGGTCCCCCCCACTTATCGATCTTTCGACGCCTATGTTTCAGTGTAGTTAATCCAAAACTGCAGTGCCATTTTCTGTAATCACAGTGCAATTTTATGTAATCACAGTGCAATTTTTTGTACTCACAGTGCAATTTTCTGTAATCACAGTGCAAAAATCTGTAACAAACCAGTGGCGTGCTGGGCACTATTTTTCTGGGGGGGCCAGTTGGCTGTCAACAAATATGCGCCCCTGTAATTTTTCGCTTGATAAATAAGGGTCGAAGGCACGAGCCGAGTGCTGCAAGTGCGAGGTTTGTCTAGGGGGGTCCGGGGGCATGCCCCCAGGAAAAGTTTTGAATTTAGAGTCTCTGAAATGCCATTTCCTGGACTTTGGGGGAAGATTTGACAGAAATCTGATGGTCAGGAAACGGCATTATAACGTGTAGACATTTGTAATTTGGTTTGAATTTAGTAGTAGTAGTACTTATATTATGCAATGCTAACAACTTCCAGCGATTAATCTAATCCCAATTCTATTCTCTACTGATCGAGTGATCTGAATACAATTACAACATACAGCTCTTTTATACAATAACACACGGACCCCACGCATATGCATTTTAAAGTTTCCCTGCCTAGCTGCCAAAAGGGCGCGTTTCAGCATTATTTCATTACTCGCATTACTCGTGATGTTTCTTGCGCAAACACCTAAATTGCGTACACAACTTTACATTATCATAACTTAAACTATCTAATTTGCGCCGCTCTTGTTAGTCGTAAAGCATAATAAAGGGCATAATACCAGCAAAAAAGGGCATAATTCCCGTGATCGCTTCGAAACCTGACCAATATTCCGATGATGAGACATTGTGTGTGATCACAGTTCATGTTTCTATATGAACAATTTCGTGTGAGCCGTGAGGTAGCAAATTAGCAAATACGGTTAGACAAAATAGTCTGTATAATTTAATATATCACTTTGTCATCTATTCGCTTAGTCTGTTTTATAAGCCTATAAACACATCTTTTCTCGGTGGAAGTAACTATATTTTTTCGAATGCGTTTTTTCCCACCCACTTTCAAAACTCGGCGCGGGATCGGCGCCCCTTTTTCATTTTTGCGCCCTGCAAGAATTGCCAGCTGGGGGGGGGGCCATGGCCCCGGCCCCCCCTGCCAGCACGCCACTGTAACAAACTGATCTGATTGGTGGAGAAACAATGTGATGATTAAATCAACCAATCAGTTTAAATAAATAAAAGTTGACTTCTGTTGGAAAATATGGCTTTTATCTTTTTTTTTAAATGGAAAAGCCTTTACCTTAAACAAAACCAACTTCCCAAGCCAGGGTCTTTACTTCCGCTCTTTGCTGTAGCGCCGTGCGGAAGTAAAGTACTAAAGACCCTGGCATGCGAAGTTGAAACAAGACTAACAAAACTTACATAGTTGAATGGAATTTTCAAGCAGTGGTGTAACTACTATGGGCTCGGACCGGGCGAACCCGGAGACCCCAACCCCAATGGGCCAAATGGGGGCCCCCAGGCTCAGGCTGTAGAGTAAAAACATGGGCCAGGGCCTCTGATATGTCACAATGATATGTCATGTTTTCTGACCATCAGAATTCTGTAAAATCTCTCCCCAAAGACCGGGAAATGGGATTTCAGAGAGTCTAGATTCAAAAATGTTCCAGGTGAGCATGCTCTGGACCTCCTAAGAAACTCGTGCATATACGGTGCTCAACTCGTGCCTTTGGCCACTGTTTTCAAGCTGTTAGCGTTGTATAATGTGATATAACAAAGCCAATGTTCGCTACAAACGTAAGTTAAAACTGCAATTATTGTCTGCAACATTTTTATGTAAATTATTAATAAGTATTATTATTCAGTTTTCGTAAACTAGTGTTCTGATTCGTCGATTTGTACCACGTAATCACAGTGCAATCACAGTGCAATTTTCTGTAATCACAGTGCAATTTTTTGTACTCACAGTGCAATTTTCTGTAATCACAGTGCAAAAATCTGTAACATACTGATCTGATTGGTGGAGAAACAATGTGATGATTAAATCAACCAATCAGTTTAAATAAATAAAAGTTGACTTCTGTTGGAAAATATGGCTTTTATCTTTTTTTTAAATGGAAAATCCTTTACCTTAAACAAAACCAACTTCCCAAGCCAGGGTCTTTACTTCCGCTCTTTGCTGTAGCGCCGTGCGGAAGTAAAGTACTAAAGACCCTGGCATGCGAAGTTGAAACAAGACTAACAAAACTTACATAGTTGAATGGAATTTTCAAGCAGTGGCGTAACTACTATGGGCTCGGACCGGGCGAACCCGGGAGCCCCCAACCCCAATGGGCCAAATGGGGGCCCCCAGGCTCAGGCTGTAGAGTAAAAACATGGGCCAGGGCCTCTGATATGTCACAATGATATGTCACGTTTTCTGACCATCAGAATTCTGTAAAATCTCCCCCCAAAGTCCGGGAAATGGGATTTCAGAGAGTCTAGATTCAAAAATGTTCCAGGTGAGCATGCTCTGGACCTCCTAAGAAACTCGTGCATATACGGTGCTCAACTCGTGCCTTTGGCCACTGTTTTCAAGCTGTTAGCGTTGTATAATGTGATATAACAAAGCCAATGTTCGCTACAAACGTAAGTTAAAACTGCAATTATTGTCTGCAACATTTTTATGTAAATTATTAATAAGTATTATTATTCAGTTTTCGTAAACTAGTGTTCTGATTCGTCGATTTGTACCACGTAATCACAGTGCAATCACAGTGCAATTTTCTGTAATCACAGTGCAATTTTTTGTACTCACAGTGCAATTTTCTGTAATCACAGTGCAAAAATCTGTAACATACTGATCTGATTGGTGGAGAAACAATGTGATGATTAAATCAACCAATCAGTTTAAATAAATAAAAGTTGACTTCTGTTGGAAAATATGGCTTTTATCTTTTTTTTAAATGGAAAAGCCTTTACCTTAAACAAAACCAACTTCCCAAGCCAGGGTCTTTACTTCCGCTCTTTGCTGTAGCGCCGTGCGGAAGTAAAGTACTAAAGACCCTGGCATGCGAAGTTGAAACAAGACTAACAAAACTTACATAGTTGAATGGAATTTTCAAGCAGTGGTGTAACTACTATGGGCTCGGACCGGGCAAACCCGGAGACCCCAACCCCAATGGGTCAAATGGGGGCCCCCAGGCTCAGGCTGTAGAGTAAAAACATGGGCCAGGGCCTCTGATATGTCACAATGATATGTCACGTTTTCTGACCATCAGAATTCTGTAAAATCTCTCCCCAAAGTCCGGGAAATGGGATTTCAGAAAGTCTAGATTCAAAAATGTTCCAGGTGAGCATGCTCTGGACCTCCTAAGAAACTCGTGCATATACGGTGCTCAACTCGTGCCTTTGGCCACTGTTTTTCAAGCTGTTAGCGTTGTATAATGTGATATAACAAAGCCAATGTTCGCTACAAACGTAAGTTAAAACTGCAATTATTGTCTGCAACATTTTTATGTAAATTATTAATAAGTATTATTATTCAGTTTTCGTAAGCTAGTGTTCTGATTCGTCGATTTGTACCATGTGACTTACTTTTACATAACAACAATGCACGGCCGTGCATTATGCACATATCAACGGCCTGCCCGGGGGGTACACCGCCGGGACAACCGGGGGGAAACGAGGGGGAATTTGGTATTTTATCCGTGTATTCTGCCCGTGAACCCCGGGGAAATTACAAACTTTGCAATAATAGGACGACGGGGGGAGGGGAAGTAGGGGACTTTGATGTGACAATTTGAATTTTATAAATGAAGTGAACAATTTGTGCGAACTCAAAATCGCAGGC